AAATAATTTTAATTAAAATTAAAATCATGCCATAAGGGGTAAAGAAGTCATAACACCTACAAGAACCCTGCCTGCCTTTCTAAAACGCCCGCTCTTACGCAAAATTTGAAATTTGAAAGATATTGGCACGTGCTGAAGTTGTAATTAAAAGCGCTATCATTCAGTTCTATCTCTTTCATTTGTTCTCTCCTCCAAGGTAAAATGGCACTGTTTGGCTCCCTAGAAAATTCTCATTTTCTCGAGAAAATTTTTATTTACGGAAAAATGTGATTTCTTTTTTGAGAATTCAGAAAAAATTTATTATCTGTTGCCAGAATAATGTTTGGAGTCCTAATAGTGAATACATTTTCTTTTCAGAAGAAATCAAGAAACCGAAGAAAAAATGCCGGAGTCACGTGACAGACTTGTGAGGCCAGTTGACATTGCGACCGTCTTCGCTCAGAGAAGGTCGGAAACTCTCGGAATTCTCAGAGACGAACCTGAACAGAGTTCAAATCACTTGGGATCTCCAGTCACTCGAGTGGCTAATACGACGGCGGCGCGTGGACAATCGGTAGGTGGAGGAAGAGGTGGTGGGTTGGGGACCCCGAGAAGCGCGTTCGGCCGTGGAAGAAGAAATGTGTACGGATTTACATCGGCGACACGTGGACCAATGGGAAGAGAGAATACGCCGATAGGAAGTGCTCGGAGAGGATCTTCTGTGTTGCCTGCTTGGTACCCGAGGACGCCTCTGAGGGATATTACTGCTGTTGTGAGGGTAATTTTCTTATTATCTTTATTTTCTTGGACGTTTAATTTCATTTCCTATAGTATTAGTTGGTATGTTTGTCAATCTTGGTTATGTTGCTGTGATTTGAACCGAATCTTGACTTTTAGTGTTTAAGTTTTTGGACATTTGATAATTTTTCTTATGACGGATTTTGGTAATATTCCTTAAAGCTTGGTAAATTAGGGTTTTTCTTTTTCCATTTGTTCTTGTCTGCATCTGATTCAATTTGTGTGTTTTGGATTTGGGATATGTTAATCTTTTCTTTTTCATTTAATAATTATTTTGGTTTATGATGCTTGTAAATCTAGGGGAAGATTTCTATGGTGCATCTACCCTTGATTTGTCCCAGAGTTGATTAATTAATTGCTATTTAGACAGTTTTGTATTATTTTGAGCATTTGTTTTCTTTGTGTTAAAGATATTTATCCTTTTAATCACGTGTTATCCTTGTTTTGAAGAGACTCATTCTCTTAATCATGTGTTCTTGGTAGTGAATTAAATGACATGCTGAGTTCTTGCCTCAAATTCCGTACGTATTAAAATTCATTTGACAAAGCTGATTAATTTCGGTTCATTTCTTGCCACAGTGAAGTTGACTGCTTGTGCTTATTCATTATTATCAACAACAGTACAAGAATCCGAACTTTGGTCTTATATTTTCATTTCTAAACTTGAGTTGCATGAATGTTGCTCGGTTAATTCTTTGGATGGTGTCAGAGCATTGCCTTCTGGCCAACGTTTTTAAGTTGTTGTGTATTGTTTTTTGGCCATGAGAATCTTCATGGTGTCCTGTGCATTCAAGTGAAATGCATTCCTGTTTGATGTTCTGCATTGTTTAATCTAATCATTCAACCAATGAAACCCTGCTGGCTATCTGTTTGAAGTGCCATAGAGTCATTGTGTTTATTCATAAATGATCGAGTCAGAGATATCATTGGCCTTAACTTGAGTCAAAGTAAATTCTTTTTGCAGTTCAGTTTTATAATTCCCCTTTCCTTTTGGGGCTTTCTAAGTCCATATATAGAGATTTCTAACTCTGGCTTTCATCAGGCGATTGAAAGGAGAAGAGCTCGCTTGGGAGAAGTTGAAGGCCTACAGATGGAGAGTCCAATGTCTCAGGATCAAAGAGTAGTTGATTCCCCTAAGCCACTGTCAGGTGCTCAGCTAGAGCACAATACTACAGTTCTGTCCCCAAATCCAACGTTGCATAAGAAGCATTGTCCGCCCTCTGTTGGTAAGGTGCCTAAGATTTTGCTTGATATCACAAATCAGGCTGGTGGAGAGTTAGAGTCTCTCACACCTCAGAAGAAACTTTTGAACTCAATTGACAAAGTTGAGAAAGTTGTAATGGAGGAATTGAATAAACTGAAGAGGACCCCAAGTGCTAGGAAAGCTGAGAGGGAGAAAAGAGTTCGCACATTAATGTCAATGCGGTGATTACTCTTATTTTCTCAGCAACTATATTTCGGAGACAGCAGTAGCCAGAAACTGGACAAACTAGATTGGGCCCTGCAGTGAGATTGATCATTTTCCGATGATCATTATTATCTCTTTGGACATTGGTCATCCTCTGATGATATCTTGTTTTTTTTTCTTTTTTTCTTTTTTTCAAATTGATGTTGAAGATAGGTTCTGCTGGGCCCTGCACGGGGAGATTGATTTTAGCGGTTATCATTGTTGAAGGCTTTGTGATAAGCAGGCACTTTTTGTAGCCTTCATTCTTTGAAGGTCTCAGTAGGAATTGTAGGTATTAAACTGGTCTGTCTTCATTCTTTGAAGGTCCCAGAAGGAATCGTAGGTAGTGTTATGCCGGTTTGATGTACATATAGTCCACATTGACAAATTAGTTTCTTGATAACATAAAATTTCACATATTACAATGACAAATTAGTTGAGTTCTATTCAATTGAGTCTGCTTTGTGGTTTTAATTTTTACTGATTTATTAAGCTGTTTGTTAATGGTGCATGAATAGTTTTTGGTAAGTGATGTTATCTTGTATGAACTTGATGAAGTAGATAGCTTTTTCAATTTTCCGGGCTCTGTTTGCTGAAAGCATCGGTGATCATTGTGCATGTTTTTATGCTGTCTTAGTTGTTATAAGGAATGTAGCTATTTGTTTAACATCATGTTTTGTTGTTATTTATTTTAACGAAGTAATAGTGTATAACTATTGCCATAATGTCAGGGTGTTGGGCTGTCCACCCATATGTGGGTTTGGACACAAAATAGGTATGAAACAAAAGGTGTAGGAAAATGTGGACATAAGGAGGGAAAATAGTTTTTTCTTGGCCTAAGGAGTTCACTGTTCACAATCCAACGATGAAACTTCCTTTAAATTCAATGAAATTTTAGTATGTTGTTGATGATGATCTAAGCTATGTATCAAACGATTTGGATAATCATTTCTTGTGAGGGTATTCAAACTTTCTAGTTTGATGCAATTTGTTATTACTCACTTTTGAGTGAAGAATTTTGTTGATGGTATGCCTCTAGTTTCTCTAGAGAAATTTTGTTGTAACCTATTATTTAATCTGTGGAAGTTTTTGTGTAGGAAGGTATAATCACCTTGTGCTTTGTTTAACCCGTTTGGTGATATATCACAATTTGTGTAGCAAAGATAATTTCTAAATTTAGAATTTGTCAATTTATATCTGTTTCAAATAATTTGTCCAAGTGCAGCAGTAGCTTTCCATATATAATACTCTGTGGATTCTGTCTCCCCATATCCTGTCAAAACCAAGACTATGTCCTGGAAGATTTGACTTGGAAACGTCAAGTTTAAGCCACTAGAATTTTTATTTATCATAAAAAGAACGAGGCATAAATAGGCTGTGCAAAACTGGGTACCCGAATAAAAGGGTACCCACAAACCGAACCACTTGTAAAGGTACCTGGTTTTTTGGGTACCTAAATATTCGGGTCAAAAACCAGATACTCGGTTTATAACCCGAATTTTCATAACTTTTTTTGTACACCCCTAATAAATACTTTTAAAACAAAGTGGATGAGTGTGATATCAATCGATCTCATAGGGGGTAAATAGAAATAAGGCAATTAAAGAATTTATTTTTCAAATAAGAATTGAGGTCAGGATAAGTTTTCATATCTTTGGGGTGTGAGTGACTAAAACTGAAACCTCAAGGATAATAATAATCCTAATATTAAAGTTATTTCCACATACATTAGGCGAAATAAAATTGTAAATAAAATTTTATAAATTTATTAGTAAAAACAAGGAAAAAATGAATGATAAAATTAACATAAAAGAAAAATGAATGGAAACACTTCCTTTTCCTTTGTTATTTTGAAATGGTAGTACTACACTTACAATTCAGTCTTACAAATTTTCTTTCACAAATCTGACGTGGTAGCTCGCTATTAGTTTCTAATAAATTTTCTCGCATGATTAATTGTCAACTATCATGTCAGAGTTGTAAGAGAAAGTTTGTAAGATTAAGTTGTGAGTCATTCAATCTAAGAATTAATCTTTTTTGGGAGGAGCGCTCAACCTTTCGTTATGCTCCGGATTAGGTACAGGTGGTGCATCCCCTCGACACTTGGTTGCTGGATTGCATCCTCTTTGGTATCGATTAGCAGGTGTTTCTTTACATCCTTGGGGAGATTTTGGGCCACAAGGAACAGTATCCCCTTTATTAATGGGTACATACCCGAGATCGGTTCCCTCCGTATCTCTCACCAAGAATGACCAAGTTAGAAGAACGCAAAGCATGATGATCACCACCCTCTTCAAGTTCGACATCTTCATTCTTTTGATAATGGTTAAAGATTATTGGGAGCTAACTTTTTATATAAACACAAGTACTACTACTGCCTATTTATATTGTTGTATTGTTTGCCAATTTAAGTTAAATAAATTAAAACTTTCAATTCACAGACGATTTGTACGTGAGGTTGTTATTGAATATTTCAGTTCCCGAGTCCTGCGTTGATTTGTTACAGAAGAAGAAGATACCTATGTATGCTAAACATAGGTGTCTTCATTTCTTTGTTATGAGGTTTGTTGTTTTGATGCCTGCATGAAATTCTTAAAAATTATTACAAATTAAAGAAAACTTGATTAAAAATTTAATTTCCTCATATCCATCTACCTTAATTTCTAAAAGCAAGAATGTCCCTTTGGCAACAGAGAGAAGAATGAATTTATTTATGCTTGGGAAGTATTTGAAACAAGTTAATTAAACATTACAAATTTTATGTCATTATACAAGATCAATTTCCATCCATTTCCTCATCTGAAGAAACGAAGGGCTTTGGAGGAATCTCCAAGCTCTTGAACTCACCTTCTAGCATTTGTAATATCATTGACATGGAAGGCCTCTCTGCTGGGTTCCACTGGATGCACCAGAGTCCCACAATTGCAAGCTGCTTGGCAATTTTCTCGTCTCCATCTACCTCAATTTCTAAAGCTACCTTGTTTCCTTGGCTCATTTTATTATATATCCACTCAGGGAAGTAAATTTGGCTTTGATTTTCAATTGACTGATCAATATTCTGTTGGCATCCAACCATCTCTAATAACATCATTCCGTAGCTAAAAACATCAGACTTATAAGAAACCTCTCCAAAGTTCCTAGAGAAGAGCTCCGGGGCAATATAACCAGTAGTTCGTCGAGCAGCTGTCATTGATACTACACTTTGTTCCTTTGAGCATAGTTTGGCCAGCCCGAAATCTGAAATCTTCGGCTGAAAATTATGGTCAAGTAATATATTGTGAGGCTTGATGTTGAAGTGAAGGATCCTTTGGTTGCATCCTTGGTGCAAGTACTCTACTCCCCGAGCAACACCAATTGCAATCTCTCGCAACTTTTCCGAACTCAATTGACGTTGACTTGAATTGTTTATACTTGAGAATATGAACTTCTCAAGTGATCCATTAGGCATGAACTCGTTAATAAGAGCACGTCGAACCCCTTCTGAATAAAATCCCAAAAGACGAACAATGTTAAAATGGTGAATCTTACCTATAGTAGCAACTTCATTGATAAATTCTTCATTTCCTGTTGAATGTTCCAACATCTTAACAGCAACTGGAATTCCATTGGTGAGTTCTCCTTTGAAGACACTTCCATAACCTCCTTGGCCTAGCCTGTGCTTAATCTACCTGTTATTTTCTTCAGGTCACTGTAAGTATATCTGGTCAGGGTGAGGGTCTTATAGTCTTCGAGGAACTTCTCTATTTTCAGTTGAGTTTCTTTTTCCTTTTCAGATCTCCTGGATCTGTAAATAAGAAGTATTACCAATGCAAAGAAGACAATGCCTCCAACACTTGTGGCTGTAGACACTGCAATTTTAACTAGACGACCATGACCATGATAATCTGCATGACCGAAGAAAAATTCTTAACTCGGTTGAGCAATAAGATCAATTAGATACATCCCAAATTTCAAACCAAAATATGGAGGGGGCTTGACGCAAGCAGGATTCACATCCTTAATGTACAGCTAGAAGATGAACAGAAAAGGGAATTTTCCCAGAAATTTCCTCAGGAGTCTAATGTACAATCAAGAGCCCCGGAATTCTCTTTACTGCCAACAAATATTTATCCTAATTAATCAGCTACAGAAAAGACTTTAAAACTTATCAGTAAGCTACCTACAAATACAATCAAGAGCGCCGGAAAACATACTGTAAATAATCAAAAGCAGAGAGACATATTACTAAATGAAAATATCATATCATGTATAAATTTGGAAAGAATTAAGTAATTTCACTTTACTTTCAGAAAGCTAAATGGTGACTTACGTTGGTTTATAACACAGATCGTTGAATTGCTTGTAGTGTTGAAGCCACAGTAGTTCCCTGATTTTTCGCAGTCGTACCATCCGTCAAGGGCTTCCCATTCTATAACTATCTTTTTAGTTTGATTATTTTGATACCAAAACTCAATCGAAATGTTAACAGTTTTATACATGCTGCAAACTGGGGGCCTCGAGTCGACTGACCAGTCGTATGTCATGCCATAAACAAAACCTCGCTCATCAGTCATGCAATCAAACGGCCCTAGTGCAGAATTCCATATAATCTTCGTAGAACAATTCCACAAAGCGTACATCTGATTGTAGTAGCTATAAAGGAGGGAGAATTTGGAGTCTGTGAGGTTAAGAGAGAGAAGACTCTGTATTGGGCATGTGGTGTCATTCATATCCATAATGGTAATACTTCTGTCCAGATAAGAAATGTCTTCCACATAGTAACTGCTGGAAAAAGGAAGATGCAACATTGTCTTGTTACTTGAGCATGACACTTCAAACCCTTCAAGACCGCAAGAGATTGGTTGAGTTTTGAGCCTAAAGGGAAATCTGATTTGTGGGCCGTTTTCGCTGCAATTTGTTGGCTGACAGAATTGATATATATTTTCATCGCTGCTTACAACTGAAGTGTTTTGCGCTATTGAGTAAGGCAAGAGAAGGAAGAAGATAATAAACGGAACAAGAGACATGAAGGGAAACAGAGAAAGTAGAGTGCTTGGCTGTCTTGTCTTGGTTTAATAAAAGCAGTCTCCAATGGCCAATTTAAAAATATGGTTTAGACCACCAACTACAAAATAATAGCAGTCTCTTTTGGAATGGCAAAGACCACCAGCTGGTGCGGGGTACGGGAAGCCAAATTTGACCTTAGCTTCTATTATTTATATTTCCATATTTTTATAATAAAAAGTATTGGATCTCACCTCTTCTTCCTCCTTTTTCTCATGCCCACCATTTCTGTTATAATTAGATCTCACCTCGCGTTGCCTGCAATGAGGCAAGCTCTAACCTCAGTGACAGCGATGAGGCCCATAATGGATCGTGTTAGAATGCAGTATTTGTTATCAAAGACTATGGATAGTCAACCAAAACAATTTGATAATTTCATAGCTCATAAGCAATTACTTTTCACATAATTACAATTATTGAGTATCGGTGAATATATACTCACTTCTATACAATTACATTTGGCAAAAAGAAACTTATTATGAATCAGTATTGTTGTATGAATATTCTTCCATTGATTCAGATAATAGCCAGGCGGTTGAATAGTCTGATTGAATCATTCTTATAGAGATATACTCGGAAGAAGAAAAGAAAGGCTTAGCAGGCAATTGCAAGTCGTCAATGCTCCCTTCTAACATTTCAATAACTTTTGTAATTGAGGGACGATCTGAAGGCTTCACTTGTATGCACCATAACCTAATTAGACAGTTTTTTTTGCAATCACGACTTCATGCTCAGTGACATCTTGGAGCTCTAAATCTCCTCCAATATTTAGTTGGTCATATACCCATGAGGGGAAGTATGCTTTGCCTGAACCAGCTGCCTTCATATCAGAATTTCTTCTACTTCCAACCATTCCCAACAATACCATTCCTAAGCTATAAACATCTGACTTGCTAGAAATTGTTCCAAAATTCCTTGAAATCAATTCAGGAGCTATGTATCATATTGTTCCTCTTGTAGCACTAATGGTCACAAAATCATTTTCCTTTGGATAAAATTTTGCAAGTCCAAAATCAAAGACTTTTGGGATGAAATTTTGGTCCAACAAGATATTGTGTGGTTTAATGTCAAAATGAAGAACGCACACATCACATCCCCCATGCAGATACTCAATCCCACGAGCAGTTGCAAGAGCAATTTCATATAGTTTGTCCCAACTAAATGATAGAGATCTACCTGCCTTGGAAAATATATGCTTATCAAGAGATCCATTTGGCATGTACTCATACACAAGAGCACGTTTAGATCCTTCTAAACAGAATCCAACTAAATGTACAACATTGATATGGTGAATTCTACCAATTGTTGAGACTTCATTGATGAATTCTTCTGCACTAAACTTGGAATTTTCTAGAACTTTAATGGCAATTAAAGAACCACTATGAAGTATTCCTTTGTAAACTCACTCCCAAGTGTTACTGCACCTATTTCAGAACGCAACACACTAATTTCCCTCTCTTGAATCCCTTCCAACTCCATAACGATATGCCTCATCGATGGCCTCCTCTCACTAAGATCAACACATTGCAATGCCAACTCTATCATCTCTTTTGCAGTGTCCACTGTTTGGTTTCCTATTGTCTTATCCACATAGTCCCCGACATCACTGCTTCATTTTGTAGGTTTTTCAGGGTTCTAAAGCTAAGAGAAAGAAGGTTATTTGTGCATGAGAGAGAGCTAAAACAGAAGAGAAAGAACTGATACAAAAACAGTCTGCGTTTTTCATTCAAAACAAAGAAATATATGAACCTAATACATCACTGTTACAACTACTTTTCAGTATAAATAATCTTTAAATATACTACAATTTGAGCCACTCTTAACAAACACAAAATTCACTGAGATTTTGTGGCTTAATCACCGGCTGTCTTCACCTAAAACATCATTCAAATAACTTCCAAAAAAAAAGGATGGGAACTGCACATGACAGACAGCCCTTTTAATTCAAAAACATGGCGCCAAACTTTCAAACCAACCATGCAAAAATGATTTCCAGCAAAATATCATTTACTTCAACACTCCTCCTTGATATTTTTGCTGGAAACTCCAAGTCTGAATCTTAATGCTTCAAACTTGGATCTGCCTAAAGGTTTGGTCATTATGTCAGCCACTTGCTCCTCTCCCCTACAATGAATCGATTTACTTCACCATCTTGCTCTGCCTTCCACGCATGATATTTGATTCTGATAGCTTTGTGGACCATGGAGTACTGGATTCTTGGACATAGCAATTGCTGATTGGTTGTCACAGTGCAACACATTTCCTTGAGTCTGTTCCAGCCTTAAGTCTTTCAAGATCTTCTCAGCCAAACCAACTGGGGACTGCAGCAGCAGTAGCTACATATTCAGCTTTAGCAGTGGATTGGCTACCACCCTCTTGCTTTTTTGAATTCCAGCTTATGGCACCTGCCTTCACAAAGAAAACATATCCAGAGGTGCTTTTCATGTCATCCAAGGAGCCACCCCAATCAATGTCAGTGAAACCATGCAAACTAAAATTTTCAGCTTCCTTAAACCATATTCCAGGTCTGGACATCCTCTAATGTATCTGAGGACTCTTTTGCTGCTTGCAAATGCAGCTCTTGGTTCATTCCATGAACCTATAGAGTAAAATGCTGCAACATAATGTGGCCTTGTTGCAGTCAAGTACAACAAGCACCCAACTATGCTTCTGTACTTAGTTTCATTAACCTTAGCAGCACCATCATTTTTACACAGCTTCACATTTTGCAGCAGAGGTGTGTTGACAGGTTTGCAGTTCTCTATTGCAAATTTTGAGAAGTTCATTAGCATACCTCTCTTGGGAGATAAATATGCCATAGGGGACTGCACACTTCCATTCCCAAGAAGAAACTCATCTCCCCTAAGTCGGTATCTCAAATTCCTTGGCAATCCTTCTTGAAATCCAGCAGCCTAGTGGAGTTAGACCTGTCACCAGCAGATCATCAACATATAAGGATACAAATATCCTTTCATAATCCACCTCTCTAACATATAAGGTATGTCATTAGGACTTCTTTCAAACCCCAAACTCATTAGGAATTCATAATTCTGCTGTACTAGGCCCTAGGGGCCTGTTTTAATCCATAAAGAGCTTCCTAAGAAGGTACACCATATCCTCCTGTCCTTCAACCGTATACCCTTTAGGTTGCTCCACAAAGATCTCTTCATCAAGCCACCCATTCAAGAAAGCGATTTCACATCCATTTGGAAGACTTCCACTTAAAATGGGCTGCAATTGCAAGAAGGATTTGATGGTTGCAAGCTTGCAACTGGTGCAAAAGTGTTAGTAAAGTCCACCCCAAACTGCTGTGCACCTTCACTACAAGCCTTGCTTTGTGTCTGTTAATTGAACCATCAAGATTCAATTTTTTCTTAAAATCCATTTCACTGGATAATCTTTCTTTCGGCAGGTCTGGTTACCAGTCCCAGGTTGCATTCTTCTAATTATGTCATTTCTTATCCATGCTGCCTTCCACTCTTAACTTTGGCTGCTTCAGCATAACATGTTGGTTCATCAAGGCCAAGTTACACTGTCATAAATTTCAGCCAAAGGTCTAGTTCCCCTAATTGAAGAACAGCTTCAGAATCAGAGCTGAAATCTGGAGTATCCTGAGTAGCTATTAAGTCTCTCCTTGTTCTTGCATATTACTCCTTTCAATTCATTTCTGTCCTAGTTCCATAGCCCTTCTTCACTACTTTACATCACGGTTAACCAGGAATTTTTGGTCTTAGGATTGGAAATCCTATATGCTTTGAATAAGCTGTATAACCAACAAAATTCCAGTTTAGCCTTCTCATCCAACTTACTCCTTGTTGGCGGAATGTGAGCATAACAAATGCTTCCAAACACTTTGAGGTGGTTGATGCTTGGCTTTACTCCATACCAAGCCTCAAATGGTGTTTGTTATCCAAGGCTTTGGTGGCAGCTTGTTGAGAAGGTAAACTGCTATATTACAGCTTCAGCCTAGAAAACTTTCGGAAGTCTCTTTCAAACACGCATGTACCTTACCATTTCCATTACAGTTCTGTTCTTTTTTCACTCACACACATTTTGCTGTGGTGTGTAAGGAGAGCTCAGTTGGTGCTTTATTCCAGACCCTACACACAGTTCTTGAAATTGATTTGAGGTATACTCTGAACCATGTCACTCCGGATGGTTTTCAAACTCAAACCAGTTTCATTTCACCATTTGCTTAAACCCCTTAAACATTGCAGCCACCCACTTTTTGTTTCAGGAAGTAGACCCAACACAGCCTGGTGAAATGTCTATAAACAGCAGAAAATACCTGCTGCCTTTCAGAGAGGACACCTGCATTGGACCACAACATCTGTGGGTATAAGCTTAGCTTTTCAGCAGCTCTCCAGGATTGTTTTGCTGGAAATGGTTGCCTACTGATTTTTCCCAGTTGGCTAACTTGACGTACCCCTTCCTCTCCTCAATTTCGGGCATACACTGAACAAGTTCTCTCCTCTCATTTCCTTAAGACCTGAATAATGTAATGCCCAAGTATTTTGTGCCAAGTTTCAGTTTCAACACATTTTGCAGACAAGCATGCAAGGCTGAGTTTTCATTCAATTGGAAAACTTTTTCCTAGCATTTTCACATCATCAATCATTCCCTAAGTTGTCAACTACAATGCAAGACATATTTTGAAAATGTAGGGAGTAGTTCTTTCTAGCATTTGACCTACACTCAGCCAGCTTTGGTTGATTTCGGGTACACATAAGAAACATTTTTAATATATTTGGTGCCTAATGTAGTTGGGACAGCAACCTTACCTCTTCCTTTGACTTCCACAAATTCTCCATTGCCAATCTTGACTTTGGAGTGAAAGAGTCTATCAAGCTCACAAAACTTGACAGATTTGGAGTCATGTGGTTTGTGCAACCACTATCAATCAGCCATACATCATCACATATGTTGTGGTTTGTGCATGAAGCATGAAGAGTTGTTCTGCTTCTGGATTTGGTTGCTGGACCTCCACCACTGCAGCCTGCTGCTCCTGCTGATTTCCTTTCCTTTTACACACTTTTTCTATGTGTTCATACTGCTTGCATGACCTGCATTGTATGCCAGGTCTGAACCAACACTTATATTCTGGATGGTTCTTCTTTTTGCAGTGCACACATGGAGGAAATGATCTTTGTCCACCACGTTTCCCTCCTTGATTGTAGCTCTTCTCTTTTCCTTTCTTTTCACCACTATATTTCTTGTCTTCTCTTTCTTGTACTCTTCCTTTTTGACCTACATACATGGCTGTCTCAGTTGAGTCTTCTTGCCTCAGCTACCTTCTTTGTTCCTGGGCTTGAAGTGAATGAACCAGCTCAGCCAAGCTGATTCGGGACAGATCTTTGGAGTCCTCTAAGGACAAAATTTTTGCTTCAAACCTCTCAGGTAAGCTGACCAGGACCTTCTCCACCACTCTCTGATCGGTTAGTTCTTCCCCTAGCAGCTTGATTTTGTTCACCACAGCCATGAGTCTGTCCACATATTCCTTGACAGATTCTGTCTCCTGCATCTTGAGTACTTCAAATTCTCTTCTCAAGTTTAGAACCTGCATATTTCTTGTTTGGTTACTCCCTCCAAACTCCTCCTTGAGAGTGTCCCAGGCTTGTTTAGGTGTCTCACATGCCATGATCCTGGGGAAGACCTGATCTGTCATGGCTGAATGTATACAAGATAATGCTTTTGGAGCTTTGGCTGCTTCTTCTTCATGAGCTCTTACCTGGTTCAGCGTTGGGTTGGGTCCAAGATGGGGAACTTGCTTCTCCTCTTCCACATATTGCCACAAGCCATGGCCCTTCAGATATGTTTTCATCTTGACAGCCCAAACATGGTACTGGTCACCGTTGAAAACTGGAGTAGAAATTGGAGCAGAACTAGATGCCATGGAGAAGCTTTTTTAAGTTAGTATTCTGGTCCTGAAAGATCAAAGAAGCTCTGATACCAATTGTAGGTTTTTCAGGGTTCTAAAGCTAAGAGAAAGAAGGTTATTTATGCATGAGAGAGAGCTAAAACAGAAGAGAAAGAACTGATACAAAAACAGTTTGCGTTTTTCATTCAAAACAGAGAAATATATGAACCTAATACATCACTGTTACAACTACTTTTCAGTATAAATAATCTTTAAATATACTACAATTTGAACCACTCTTAACAAACACAAAATTCACTGAGATTTTGTGGCTTAATCACCGGCTGTCTTCACCAAAAACATCATTCAAATAACTTCCAAAAAAAAAGGATGGGAACTGCACATGACAGACAGCCCTTTTAATTCAAAAACCTGGCGCCAAACTTTCAAACCAACCATGCAAAATGATTTCCAGCAAAATATCATTTACTTCAACACATTTAGCCTTCAAAAGAAAATTGAATTTTGTCAAAAGTAGAATAGCTTTCGCATCTCCTCAATAATAACACTGATGGCGATAATGGATAAGAGAGAAAGCCATCTTTTCCTGACTTTTAAATTGAGACTTCCCATGTACCTGCAATACTAAGTTTTGGTCTGCATTTGACTGATTTCTGCCATTTGCTTCATGTCCACTGATCAACTCCAGTAAGAAGACCCCGAAACTATACACACCACTTCCTGCTGAAAAGTGATTTGATCGATTCAACCTTTTGAAAAAAACCAAAATGACAAGTCTAAGCTAAACTCCTGTCAATCATGGAAACTAATACAAAAAGAATAACATACTGAAATGTTCATGCAATTTGGCTTGAAAGAATGCACAGTGAAAGATGGTGGGACTTGAAGCGGGGATAATATCCTTGCAAAATTTACTAAAGTAAAACATAACAGTTTCCTTCTTATACACGTCGTTTTTTAGGTGAAAGCATGCTTCAAGTAGTCAAGTTTTTGTTTCCGCATATATACATAAATAAATAAATGGCTATACTAAGCAATATTTTCGGCAACAACATTACGGTAAACCTGGAAATAGGTATACATTAAGGACGGATAAATAAAGCACGACTTCCTGTGAAAGTTTATGTTTCCTAAAAATCCAAAAGTTATTTTGTGATGATGTGGCTTCTTTTTTGCCAAGGTGGAAGTCAGTTTTTTCCCTGTTTAGTCAAACACTCATGCGACGTCGTTTTTTGGCCAACCTAATGATCACTTATCTAATTAGGTCTTCACACTTTTGCGTAGACTCCTTCTCTCTCTCTCTCTTTTCTGTTTGGTTCGACAGCTCTCAACCTTGAAGAATGTTCTAGAATTGATCTTACAATCTTTCTGTTATGGAGAATCAAGGATAGATGGCTGATGATCCAAGAGTGAAGCATGCGTAATTAACTCATGCTGGTCCAGAAGGAAGGGGTAGATTTCGGATTGAGAAATCTAGGGTTTTACGGATTTGGTGTGTTCCTTCCTTGTTTGTATTCTCTTATGTTCTGATTCAATATCTCTTCTTGTACACTATTGATTGATAATGAAATCCCCTATTGTGAGCCTTGGAGAGTGGATGTAGGCTGCAAAGCCGAACCACTATAATTTTGCTGTGTCTTGTTCTATACTTGTTTCTATTATATCTGTCATGAGTTTGATTGTTTATTAGAGACTAAGTTTTCACCACTGATTTAGGTTTTCATAATAGAATCTTAACATATTTCCTATATCTTTCAAGAAATCAAGAACACTCAATTGTTCAAATTTTAATACAAGAGAAGAATGAGTCTTATTTATAGATGGAGGTGTTTGAAAAAGTAAGTTCACTTCAATTAAGTCTTTGTTATATCAATTTGAGTCCATTTCAACTTTTAAAGAAAGAACTCTAGAGGCATCCCAAAGTTCTTTAGATATTATTTACAAATAACATTAAGGTAGCGTTTGGTTCAAGGAATGTTATATTCTTGAGGAATATTGTATTACTGGAAAGATAGATTACTAGGGAATCTTTAGAGAAATGTGTTTGGTCGGTTAGAATAAATTGATGAGTATGTTATAACAATATGTTTGGTTGGGAGGATAAATGAGTGGGTATGTTATGTAGATTACTAAATTGCCCTCATTTTAAAATAATAATATAATATTATTTTTATTATTATTTTATTCTATTATTTTTTAAATTATTTCTTTTAACCCCCCTATATTTGAAATTTTACCAAAACACCCCAACCATATACAACTTTAATTTGTAGCAAAGTCACCCCTACTCACCCCAAACCACCGCCGACAGCCACCACCACCACCGGAAGCCGCTGTAATGGCGCACGACCAGCCGGATCTGGCTGGTCGTACGCCGATCAGGCCTAATCTGGCTAGATCTGATCATGAATATGGTCGTTTCATGGCTAGATCTGGCCGTTAATATGGCCATTTCACGGCCAAAGATGTGGCCGTGGAACGGCCATAGATCGCCGTTTCATGGCCAAAGATCTGGCCTTTTCACGGTCAGATCTATGGTGTTTCACAACCACATCTTTGGCCGTGAAACGGCCAGATCTGGTCGTTTCCAGCCATGGATCACAAATCCATGGTCGAAAATGTCCTTATCGGCACACGACCGGCAAGATCCTGCCAGTCTTGTGCCGATATGACGACTTTCGCCGGTGGCAAGCAGTGGTGGCTAGCGACTGGCGGTGGTCTTGGATGATTAGGGATATTTTGTTAACTTTTAAACTTTTTTGTGGCGGGAGTGTTTTAGCTAAGTTCTTAAATGTAGGGGGTCTGAGCTAATTGTTATTTGGTAGACATATGAGGGCAAATGTGTCTGGAATGATAAAATATTAAGGGCAAAATAGGGTAAAAATTATGATTATCCCAGTAATCTAACATTAACACCCCTTGGGAAGGTAATCTGATTACCCCCAATATTACCAATAGTAACCACTATTTGCAATAAAATATTACTGTAATATTATATTACTTGACAACCAAACGAGGGAATCTTGAAAATTAAACAAAGATTACAGAATTTATCTTATTTCACCTCGAACCAAACGCACCCTAAAGACTTTCCATGCCAATGGTAAAACTATCAAATCCTTTACTCTAGTTTACATTCATTAGTATTGGCATGGAAGGTCTCTTTATTGGATTCCACTGAACTTAAATTAAAGTAGTACATAAAAGTTTGAGATAACTTGTATAATAATTAATCCCAAACTCAAAACACTCTGTTTAAGTTGTGCTATTACAAGGACAATGTATTTATTTATGCGTGGAAGCATTTGAAAGAAGTTCCTTAGTTATATAACAATTTAATTTCTCTATAAATGATTAATTTGCATCCATTTCATCATCTGAAGAAGCGAAGGCCTTTGGAGGAATCTCCAAGCTCTGCAAGTCACCTTCAAGCATTTGTAACACAAGTGGCATGGAAGGCCTCTCTGTTGGATTCCACTGAATGCACCAGAGTCCCACAATTGCAAGCTTCTTGGCAATTTCCTCATCTCCCTCTAACTCAATTTCTAAAGTAAGCTCTTTTCCTTGGCTCATTCTGTGTTATATCCAATTATCCACTCTGGAAAGTAAATTTAGCTTTCTTTGTCAATTGTAAGATCAATGTTCTTTCGGCATCCAACGATCTCTAGTAGCATCATTCTATAGCTAAAAACAGCGGACTTGTAAGAAACCTCGCCAAAGTGCCTGTGCCTGGAGAAAAGTTCTGGGGCAATGTACCCTGTAGTTCCTTGAGCAGTTGTCATTGACACAACACTTTGTTCTTTTGAGCATAACTTTGCTAGCCCAAAATCTGAAATCTTTGGCAGAAAATTATGGTCAAGTAATATATTGTGAGGCTTGATGTCAAAGTGAAGGATCCTCTGGTTGCATCCTTGGTCCAAGTACTCTATTCCCTGTGCAACACCAATGGCAATGTCTTGCAAGTTTTCCTAACTCAATGGACACTAAATTGACTTGTTTACATCTAAGAATATAAACTTCTCAAGTGATCCGTTAGGCATGAACTCGTAGATAAGAGCACGTCGTGTTCCTTCTGAATAAAATCCCAATAAACGAACAATGTTAAAATGGTGAATCCTACCTATAATAGCCACTTCATTGAAAAATTCTTCACCGTTTCCTTTTGAATGTTCTAACATCTTAATAGCAACCGGAATTCCATTGGAGAGTTTTCCTCTAAAGACACTTCCATAACCTCCTTGACCAAGTCTATGCCTAAATTTAACAGTTATTTTCTTAAGGTCACTGTAAGTATATATGGTTGGATTGAGGGTCCTGTAGTCTTCGAGGAACTTCTCTATTTTCAATTGAGTTTCTTTTTCATTTTCAGATTTCCTGGATTTGTAAACGAGAAGTGTTACCAATGCAAAGAAGACAATGCCTCCAATACTTGTGGCTGTAGGCACTGCAATGTTAACTACACGACCATGACCACGATAATCTGCATGTCAAAAGAGAAATTCTTAACTTGGTCGAGTAATAAGATTAATTAGATAACATTCTAAATTGCAAGCTAGAATGTTATCTAAAATGTTTAAAATACAGCTAGAAGATGAACAGGACATTCTTCAAAATGTTCAGAAAAGAAAGGAAAATGTGAAAATTGGTTTTGAAATAAAATTATTGAAAGTTATTCACACCAAGCAACTGAAAGGAACTAATTTTAAATATGAAGTGGATTTGGAAAGGTAATATTGTAGTTCTGTCTCTATTGCAAGGCCTCCTTGCTCTGTTTTTTATTTTTTATTTTATTTTTGCCTGCGTAAAACAACTTGGTGGAAGAAGTGCATCCCACCGTTCAAGTTTCAACCTTCACTGACAACAAATCAGGAGCCGAAAATGCTTTATAACTTATCACTAAGGTGCAACAATCAAGAGGGGAAACATGCGGTAAATAAAAGTTCATTAAAATCATAGAGACATCTTATTAATTAGATGAAAATATCATATCATAAATTTACTAGTTCAATTATGTAGGCACTTCAAAATTAGTAATGAATTAACTATAATTCAACTCTATTCTATTAAAATATAAATCAAGTAATGGTACTCTTACCAAGATATTCATCTGTTTATGTATCTTGAAGTTCAATTTTTATGTTATAAAAAGAAAATTTTGAACAAACTTATACCCAGTCAACGTAATAGAAACCACAAACGAATCAAAGATTTTTCTTGAAATTTCATACTGTACTTTCAGAAAGCTAAATGGTAACTTACGTTTGTTCTTGATACAGATTGTTGAATTACTTGTAGTGTCGAAGCCACAATAGTTCCCAGATTTTTCGCAGTCCCAGCACCCATCAAGGGCTTCCCAAACTATGAATATGTTTTCAATTGGAATATCTCGATCCAAATAATTCGAAGTGTTAACAGTTTTATACCTACTGCAAACTGGGGCATCGAGACGTATTCATATGTCATGTCAGGCATTGCATAAATAAAATTTCGCTCATCACTGATGCAATCAAACGGTCCTATTTCAGGATTTGTCCATGTAATCTTCACAGTGCAATTCAACATCTGAAAGGTGAAATCATTTCCGAGGGAGAATCTGGAGTTTGTGAAGTTAAGAGAGAGAAGACTTTGTATTGGGCATGTGGTGTCATTCATATCCATAATGGTAATCCATCCGTACAGATAAGAAATGTCTTTCACATAGTAACCGCTTGAGAAAGGAAGATGCAACATAGTCTTGCCATTTGAACATGACATTTCAAACCCTTCAAGGCCACAAGAGACTGGTTGAGTCTTGAGCCTAAAGGGAAATCTGATTTTTGGGCCATTTTCGCTGCAATTTGTTGGCTGACAGAACCCATATATATTTTGATCATTGTCTATAACTGATGTATTTTTGGCTATCGATGAGTAAGGTAAGAGAAGGAAGAGGATAATAAACGACACAAGAAACATGAAGAAAAACAGAGAGAAAAACCAAAAAGGAACAGAGACAGTCTTGAGTTTAAAATTCTTTTAGACACCAGCTACAAACTAAGAGTGGCTCTTTTGGAATGTGGCTTTATTCGTCGACCCCGTATGTGAAAGACTGGGAAATTTGACCTTAGCTCCTAGCTGTTAGTTTTTGTCATTAAAATTAATTGATGGTAAGATATTATTGATATTTCCATCTTTTTAAAATTAAAAGTACTTTTTCTTTCATTTTCCCCTTATTCCTCCTTTTTCTTCTACCTACCATTTGTGATATAATATAATTGGATCTCACCTCTGGTGCCTAAATGAAGCCAGATCTAATCTCGGTGACCGCAACCGCATCGCAGACTGAAATGGCCTTGCACGGCTTCTATGAGGCCAATCCTGACCTGAAGTTTGTTTAGTTAAAAAAAAGATGTTGATAAGTTTTTAATTTGTTAGTGTAAATTTGATGGATTTGGGGTAATCAATCGAATATCATTAGTACTATCGATAACCCAGATGTCATATATACTCTAGATAATTTTCCCCCTAGATCAATCATTTTTGAAAAAATTATTGGTTATCAAAGACTATAAATGGATAGCCAACCAAAACATTTTGATCATTTTATAGATCGTAAACAATTACTTAAAAATTCACAAAAATACAATTGATTATTGTTGATATTCACTAATGTACAACTAAATTTGGCACATAGAAACTAATACAAGAAAAGTACATACGAACATGACCATATTATAGACATACGGAGGTTTTATTTTACTTTTACACATTTCATTGCAACAACTAATTATGCAACAGTATTTTTGTCTGAGCATTCTTCCATTGATTCCGACACTAGCAACTCGGTTGAAGAGTCTGAATAAATCTCTTGTATAGAGATATGCTCAGAAGAAGAAAAGAAAGGCTTAGGAGGCATTTGCAAGTCATCAATGCTCCCTTCTAACATTTCAATAACTTTTGTAATTGAGGGACGATTTGAAGGCTTCACTTGTATGCACCATAACCCAATTAAACACATTTTTCTTGCAATCACAATTTCATTTTCAGTGACATCTTTAATCTCCAAATCCCCACCAATAATTATTTGTTCATATACCCAAGATGGGAAGTATGCTTTGCTTGAACGATCTGCCTTCATATCAGAATTTCTTTTACCTCCAACCATTTCCAACAACAACATTCCGAAGCTATATACATCTGACTTGCAAGAAACTGTTCCAAAATTCCTAGAAATCAATTCAGGAGCTATGTATCCTATTGTTCCTCTTGTAGCACTAACAGACACAAAATCATTTTCCTTCGGATAAAATTTTGCAAGTCTGAAATCAGAGACCTTTGGAATGAAATTTTGGTCTAGCAAGATATTGTGTGGCTTAATGTCAAAATGAAGAATACAAACATCACATCTCCCATGCAGATATTGGATCCCACGAGCAGTTGCAAGAGCAATTTCATATAGTTTGTCCCAACTAAATGATGGAGATTTGCCTTCCTTGGAAAATATATGCTTGTCAATAGATCCATTTGGCATATACTCATACCAAGAGCACGTTTAGATCCTTCCGAACAAAATCCAACTAATTGTACTATATTGACATGGTGAATTCTACTGATTGTAGAGACTTCATTGATGAATTCTTCTGCACTAAACTTGGAATTTTCTAGAACTTTAACGGCAATTAAAGAACCACTATGAAGTATTCCTTTGTAAACTGATCCAAATGTTAATGCACGATTTCAGAACGCAACACACTAATTTCCCTCTTGAATCCCTTCCAACTCCATAACGATATGCCTCATCGATGGCTCCTCTCACTAAGATCAACACATTGCAATGCAACTCTATCATCTCTTTTGCAGTGTCCACTGTTTGGTTTCCTATTGTCTTATCCACATAGTCCCCGACATCACTGCTTCATTTGTAGGTTTTTTCAGGGTTCTAAAGCTAGAGAAAGAAGGTTATTTGTGCATGAGAGAGAGCTAAACAGAGAGAAAGAACTGATACAAAAACAGTCTGCGTTTTTCATTCAAAACAAGAAATATATGAACCTAATACATCACTGTTACAACTACTTTTCAGTATAAAATCTTAAATATACTACAATTGTGAGCCACTCTTAACAAACACAAAATTCACTGAGATTTTGTGGCTTAATCACCGGCTGTCTTCACCTAAAACATCATTCAATAACTTCCAAAAAAAAGGATGGGAACTGCACATGACAGACAGCCCTTTTAATTCAAAACATGGCGCCAAACTTCAAACCAACCATGCAAAATGATTTCCAGCAAAATATCATTTACTTCAACACTCCTCCTTGATATTTTTGCTGAAACTCCAAGTCTGAATCTTAATGCTTCAAACTTGGATCTGCCTAAAGGTTTGGTCATTATGTCAGCCACTTGCTCCTCCCCCTACAATGATCAGATTTACTTCACCATCTTGCTCTGCCTCTCTCACTGCATGATATTTGATTCTGATATGCTTTGTGCGACCATGGAGTACTGGATTCTTGGACATAGCAATTGCTGATTGGTTGTCACAGTGCAACACATTTCCTTGAGTCTGTTCCAGCTTAAGTCTTTCAAGATCTTTCTCAGCCAAACCAACTGGTTGACTGCAGCAGCAGTAGCTACATATTCAGCTTTAGCAGTGGATTGTGCTACCCCTCTTGCTTTTTTGAATTCCAGCTATGGCACCTGCATTCACAAAGAAAACATATCCAGAGGTGCTTTTCATGTCATCAGGAGCACCCCAATCACTGTCAGTGAAACCATGCCAAACTAAAATTTTCAGCTTCCTTAACCATATTCCCAGTCTGGACATCCTCTAATGTATCTGAGGACTCTTTTTGCTGCTTGCAAATGCAGCTCACTTGGTTATTCATGAACCTATAGAGTAACTTGCTGAAAATAATGTCTGGCCTTGTTGCAGTCAAGTACAACAGACCCAACTATGCTTCTGTACTTAGTTTCATTAACCTTAGCAGCACCATCATTTTTACACAGCTTCACATTTTGCAGCAGAGGTGTGTTGACAGGTTTGCAGTTCTCTATTGCAAATTTTTGAGAAGTTCATTAGCATACCTCTCTTGGGAGATAAATATGCCATAGGGGAGCCACACTTCCATTCCCAAGAAGAACTCATCTCCCCTAAGTCGGTCATCTCAAATTCCTTGTGCAATCCTTCTTGAAATCCAGCAGCCTAGTGGAGTTAGGACCTGTCACCAGCAGATTCAACATAAGGATACAAATATCCTTTCATAATCAACCTCTCTAACTATAAGGTATGCTCATTAGGACTTCTTTCAAACCCAACTCATTAGGAATTCTTAATTCTGCTGTACTAGGCCCTAGGGCCTGTTTTAATCCATAAAGAGCCTTCCTAAGAAGGTACAACCATATCCTCCTGTCCTTCAACCGTATACCCTTTAGGTTGCTCCACAAAGATCTCTTCATCAAGCCACCCATTCAGAAAGCAGATTTCACATCCATTTGGAAGATTTTCCACTTAAAATGGGCTGCAATTGCAAGAAGGATTCTGATGGTGTCAAGCCTTGCAACTGGTGCAAAAGTGTTAGTAAAGTCCACCCCAAACTGCTGTGCAAACCCTTCACTACAAGCCTTGCTTTGTGTCTGTTAATTGAACCATCAAGATTCAATTTTTTTATATAAATCCATTTCACCTGGATAATCTTTCTTTCGGCAGGTCTGGTTACCAGTTCCCAGGTTGCTTCTTCTTATTGTCAAGTTCTTCATCCATTGCTGCCTTCCACTCTTTAACTTTGGCTGCTTCAGCATAACATGTTGGTTCCATCAAGGCCAAGTTACATCTGTCATAAATTTCAGCCAAAGGTCTAGTTCCCCTAATGAGAATCAGCTTCAGAATCAGAGCTGAAATCTGGAGTATCCTGAGTAGCTATTAAGTCTCCTCCTTGTTCTTGCATATTACTCCTTTCAATCTCATTTCTGTCCTAGTTCTCATAGCCCTTCTTCATCTACTTTTACATCACGGTTAACCAGAATTTTTTGGTCTTAGGATTGTAATCCTATATGCTTTGAATAAGCTGCTATAACCACAAAAATTCCAGTTTCAGCCTTCTCATCCAACTTACTCCTCTTGTTGGCTGGAATGTGAGCATAAAAATGCTTCCAAACACTTTGAGGTGGTTGATGCTTGGCTTTACTCCATACCAAGCCTCAAATGGTGTTTTGTATCAAGGCTTTGGTTGGCAGCTTGTTGAGAAGGTAAACTGCTATATTTACAGCTTCAGCCTAGAAAACTTTCGGAAGTCTCTTTTCAAACAGCATGTACCTTACCATTTCCATTACAGTTCTGTTCTTTCTTTCACTCACACCATTTTGCTGTGGTGTGTAAGAGAGCTCAGTTGGTGCTTATTCCAGACCCTACACACAGTTCTTGAAATTGATTTGAGGTATACTCTGAACCATTGTCACTCCGGATGGTTTTCAAACTCAAACCAGTTTCATTTCCACCATTTGCTTAAACCCCTTAAACATTGCAGCCACCTCACCTTTTGTTTCAGGAAGTAGACCCACACACAGCCTGGTGAAATCGTCTATAAACAGCAGAAAATACCTGCTGCCTTTAGAGAGGACACTGCATTGGACCACACACATCTGTGTGTATAAGCTTAAGCTTTCAGCAGCTCTCCAGGATTGTTTTGCTGGAAATGGTTGCCTACTGATTTTTCCCAGTTGGCTAACTTGACGTACCCCTTCCTTCTCCTCATTTCGGGCATACACTGAACAAGTTCTCTCCTCCTCATTTCCTTAAGACCTGAATAATGATAATGCCCAAGTATTTTGTGCCAGTTTCAGTTTCAACACATTTTGCAGACAAGGATGCAAGGCTGAGTTTTCCATTCAATTGGAAAACTTTTTCCTAGCATTTCACATTCATCAATTCATTCCCTAAGTTGTCACTACATGCAAGACATATTTGAAAATGTAGGAGTAGTTCTTTTCTAGCATTTGACCTACACTAGCCCATGCTTTGGTTGATTTCGGGTACACTAAAAACATTTTAATATATTGGTGCTCAATGTAGTTGGGACAGCAACCTTACCTCTTCCTTTGACTTCCACAAATTCTCCATTGCCAATCTTGACTTTGGAGTGAAAGAGTCTATAATGCTCACAAAACTTGACAGATTTGGAGTCATGTGGTTTGTGCAACCACTATCAATCAGCCATACATCATCACATATGTTGTGTTTGTGCATGAAGCCATGAAGAGTTGTTCTGCTTCTGGATTTGGTTGCTGGACCTCCACCACTGCAGCCTGCTGCTCCTGCTGATTTCCTTTCCTTTTACACACTTTTTCTATGTGTCATACTGCTTGCATGACCTGCATTGTATGCCAGGTCTGAACCAACACTTATATTCTGGATGGTTCTTCTTTTTGCAGTGCACACATGGAGGAAATGATCTTTGTCCACCACGTTTCCCTCCTTGATTGTAGCTCTTCTCTTTTCCTTTCTTTTCACCACTATATTTCTTGTCTTCTTTTCTTGTACTCTTCCTTTTTGACCTACATACATGGCTGTCTCAGTTGAGTCTTCTTGCCTCAGCTACCTTCTTTGTTCCTGGCTTGAAGTGAATGAACCAGCTCAGCCAAGCTGATTCGGGAGATCTTTGGAGTCCTCTAAGGACAAAATTTTTGCTTCAACCTCTCAGGTAAGCTGACCAGGACCTTCTCCACCACTCTCTGATCGGTTAGTTCTTCCCCTAGCAGCTTGATTTTGTTCACCACAGCCATGAGTCTGTCCACATATTCTTGACAGATTCTGTCTCCTGCATCTTGTACTTCAAATTCTCTTCTCAAGTTTAGAACCTGCATATTTCTGTTTGGTTACTCCCTCCAAACTCCTCCTTGAGAGTGTCCCAGGCTTGTTTAGGTGTCTCACATGCCATGATCCTGGGAAGACCTGATCTGTCATGGCTGAATGTATACAAGATAAGCTTTTGGAGCTTTGGCTGCTTCTTCTTCATGAGCTCTTACCTGGTTCAGCGTTGGGTTGGGTCCAAGATGGGGAACTTGCTTCTCCTCTTCCACATATTGCCACAAGCCATGGCCCTTCAGATTGTTTTCATCTTGCAGCCCAAACATGTACTGGTCACCGTTGAAAACTGGAGTAGAAATTGGAGCAGAACTAGATGCCATGGAGAAGCTTTTTTAAGTTAGTATTCTGGTCCTGAAAGATCAAAGAAGCTCTGATACCAATTGTAGTTTTTCAGGGTTCTAAAGCTAAGAGAAAGAAGGTTATTTATGCATGAGAGAGAGCTAAACAGAAGAGAAAAGAAAAGAAAAAGAAGAAAGAAAAGAAAAATAAAGAAAAAAAAAAAAAAATTTTATAGATTTGCATGTTTTAATCAAACAAAACGAAAAACAAAAAAAAGCGAAAAGAGAAGAGTCAAGAAGAAAGTAATTGAAAAGAACTATCACAAAAATAGTTGCGTTTTCAATTAAATTCAGAGACATTTATGAACTCTATATATCACTGGAAACTACTTTTCAGTATAATAATCTTAAATATACTACAATTTGAACCACTCTTAACAAACACAAAATAATGAGATTTTGTGGCTAATCCCGGCTGTCTTCACCAAAAACATCATTCAAATAACTTCCAAAAAAAAGGATGGGAAATGCACATGACAGACAGGCACTTTTAATTCAAAAACCTGGCGCCAAACTTTCAAACCAACCATGCAAAATGATTCCAGCAAAATACATTTACTTCAACACATTTAGCCTTCAAAAAAAATTGATTTTGTCAAAAGTAGAATAGCTTTCGCATCTCTCAAAATAACACTGATGGCGATAAGGATAAGAGAGAAAGCCATCTTTTCTGACTTTAAATTGAGACTTCCCATGTACCTGCAATACTAAGTTTTGGTCTGCATTTGACTGATTTCTGCCATTTGCTTCATGTCCACTGATCAAACAGTAAGAAGACCCCGAAACTATACACACCACTTCCTGCTGAAAAGTGATTTGATCGATTCAACCTTTTGAAAAAAACCAAAATGACAAGTCTAAGCTAAATCCTGTCAATCATGGAAACTAATACAAAAAGAATAACATACTGAAATGTTCATGCAATTTGGCTTGAAAGAATGCACAGTGAAGATGTGGGGACTTGAAGCGGGGATAATATCCTTGCAAATTTATAAAGTAAAACATAACAGTTTCCTTCTTATACCCGTTTTTTAGGTGAAAGCATGCTTCAAGTAGTCAAGTTTTGTTTCCGCATATATACAAAATAAATAAATGGCTATACTAAGCAATATTTTCGGCAACAACATTACGGTAAACCTGGAAATAGGTATACATTAAGGACGGATAAATAAAGCACGACTTCTGTGAAAGTTTATGTTTCCTAAAAATCCAAAAGTTATTTTGTGATGATGTGGCTTCTTTTTTGCCAAGGTGGAAGTCAGTTTTTTCTGTTTAGTCAAACACTCCTGCGACGTCGTTTTTGGCCAACCTAATGATCACTTATTAATTAGTCTTCACACTTTTTGCGTAGACTCCTCTCTCTCTCCTCTTTTCTGTTTGGTTCGACGCTCTAACCTTGAGAAATGTTCTAGAATTGATCTTACAATCTTTCTGTTATGGAGAACAAGGATAGATGGATGAGATCCAAGAGTGAGCATGCGTAATTAACTCATGCTGGTCCAGAAGGAAGGGGTAGATTTCGGATTGAGAAATCTAGGGTTTTACGATTGGTGGTTCCTTCCTTGTTTGTATTCTCTTATGTTCTGATAATACTCTTCTTGTACCTATTGATTGATAATGAAATCCCCTATTGTGAGCCTTGGAGAGTGGATGTGCTGCAAAGCCGAACCACTATAATTTTGCTGTGTCTTGTTCTATACTTGTTTCTATTTATCTGTCATGAGTTTGATTGTTTATTAGAGACTAAGTTTTCACCACTGATTTAGGTTTCATAATAGAATCTTAACATATTTCCTATATCTTTAAGAAATCAAGAACACTCAATTGTTCAAATTTAATACAAGAGAAGAATGAGTCTTATTATAGATGGAGGTGTTTGAAAAAGTAGTTCACTTCAATTAAGTCTTTGTATATCAATTTGAGTCCATTTCAACTTTTAAAAGAAAGAACTCTGAGCATCCCAAAGTTCTTTAGATATTATTTACAAATAAAATTAAGGTAGCGTTTGGTTCAAGGAATGTTATTCTTGAGGAATATTGTATTACTGGAAAGATAGATTATAGGGAATCTTTAGAGAAATGGTTGTCGGTTAGAATAAATTGATGAGTATGTTATAACAATATGTGGTTGGGAGGATAAATGAGTGGGTATGTTATGTAGATTACTAAATTGCCATTTTAAAATAATAATATATATTATTTTTATTATTATTTATTCTATTATTTTTAAATTATTTCTTTTAACCCCCCCCCATATATTGAAATTTACCAAACACCCCAACCATATACAACTTTAATTTGTAGCAAAGTCACCCTAATCACCCAAACCACCGCCGACAGCCACCACCACCACACGGAAGCCGCTGTAATGGCGCACGACCAGCCGGATCTGGCTGGTCGTACGCCGATCGCTAATCTGGCTAGATCTGATCATGAATATGGTCGTTTCAGGCTAGATTGGCCGTTAATATGGCCATTTCACGGCCAAAGATTGGCCGTGGAACGGCCATAGATCGCCGTTTCATGGCCAAAGATCTGGCCTTTTCACGGTCAGATCTATGGTGTTTCACAACCACATCTTTGGCCGTGAAACGGCCAGATCTGGTGTTTCCAGCCATGGATCACAAATCCATGGTCGAAAATGTCCTATCGGCACACGACCGGCAAGATCCTGCCAGTCTTGTGCCGATATGACGACTTTCGCCGGTGGCAAGCAGTGGTGGCTAGCGACTGGCGGTGGTCTTGGATGATTAGGGATATTTTGTTAACTTTTAAACTTTTGTGGCGGGAGTGTTTTAGCAGTTCTTAAATGTAGGGGGTCTGAGCTAATGTTATTTGGTAGACATATGAGGGCAAATGTGTCTGGAATGATAAAATATTAAGGGCAAATAGGGTAAAAATTATGATTATCCCAGTAATCTAACATTAACACCCCTTGGGAAGGTAATCTGATTACCCCAATATTACCAATAGTAACCACTATTTGCAATAAAATATTACTGTATATTATATTACTTGACAACCAAACGAGGGATCTTGAAAATTAAACAAAGATTACAGAATTATCTTATTTCACCTCGAACAAACGCACCTAAAGACTTTCCATGCCAATGGTAAAACTATCAAATCTTTATCTGTTTACATCATTAGTATTGGCATGGAAGTCTCTTTATTGGATTCCACTGAACTTAAATTAAAGTAGTACATAAAAGTTTGAGATAACTTGTATAATAATTAATCCCAAACTCAAAACACTCTGTTTAAGTTGTGCTATTACAAGGACAATGTATTTTATTATGCGTGGAAGCATTTGAAAGAAGTTCCTTAGTTATATAACAATTTAATTCTCTATAAATGATTAATTTGCATCCATTTCATCATCTGAAGAAGCGAAGGCCTTGGAGGAATCTCCAAGCTCTGCAAGTCACCTTCAGCATTTGTAACACAAGTGGCATGGAAGGCCTCTCTGTTGGATTCCACTGAATGCACCAGAGTCCCACAATTGCAAGCTTCTTGGCAATTCTCATCTCCCTCTAACTCAATTTCTAAAGTAAGCTCTTTTCCTTGGCTCATTCTGTGTTATATCAATTATCCACTCTGGAAAGTAAATTTAGCTTTCTTTGTCAATTGAAGACAATGTTCTTTCGGCACAACGATCTCTAGTAGCATCATTCTATAGCTAAACAGCGGACTTAAGAAACCTCGCCAAGTGCCTGTGCCTGGAGAAAAGTTCTGGGCAATGACCCTGTAGTTCCTTGAGCAGTTGTCATTGACACAACACTTTGTTCTTTGAGCATAACTTTGCTAGCCCAAAATCTGAATCTTTGGCAGAAAATATGGTCAAGTAATTATTGTGAGGCTTGATGTCAAAGTGAAGGATCCTCTGGTTGCATCCTTGGTCCAAGTACTCTATTCCTGTGCAACACCAATGGCAATGTCTTGCAAGTTTTCCTAACTCAATGGACACTAAATTGACTTGTTTACATCTAAGATATAAACTTCTCAAGTGATCCGTTAGGCATGAACTCGTAGATAAGAGCACGTCGTGTTCCTTCTGAATAAAATCCCAATAAACGAACAATGTTAAAATGGTGAATCCTACCTATAATAGCCACTTCATTGAAAAATTCTTCACCGTTTCCTTTGAATGTTCACATCTTAATAGCAACCGGAATTCCATTGGAGAGTTTCCTCTAAGACACTTCCATAACCTCCTTGACAAGTCTATGCCTAAATTTAACAGTTATTTTCTTAAGGTCACTGTAAGTTATATGGTGGTTGGAGGGTCCTGTAGTTTGGAACTTCTCTATTTTCAATTGAGTTTCTTTTTCATTTTCAGATTTCCTGGATTTGTAAACGAGAAGTTTACCAATGCAAAGAAGACAATGCCTCCATACTTGTGGCTGTAGCACTGCAATGTTAACTACACGACCATGACCGATAATCTGCATGTCAAAAGAGAAATTCTTAACTTGGTCGAGTAATAAGATTAATTAGATAACATTCTAAATTGCAAGCTAGAATGTTATCTAAAATGTTTTAATACAGCTAGAAGATGAACAGGACATCTCAAAATGTTCAGAAAAGAAAGGAAAATGTGAAAATTGGTTTTGAAATAAAATTATTGAAAGTTATTCACACCAAGCAACTGAAAGGAAC